GATTCTGTTTTGATTGTAAACACTTGTGAAGACAAGGTCTATTGTTAAAGAACACAAATGACTGGATATAGAATTTTTTTCTTTCAGAGGCCCTTGCACCACAATTTATTTCCATCTGCAGGTAAGGTCGTTAGCTGCACGGAATTTTTTCTTTGACATTCAGAAGTACCAGCCTCAAAAAATGAGAATTGTGTGAAGAGAAAAAGGGAGGTAGAATTCCACTGCTTTATGCAATTAAAAAAAAGCAGTTAACTGAAAGTACTCTGAGAGTTTTGTTTTGTTTTAAACCGAATGAATACATTCTTTGCTTCACACACACAGAAGTTCACCCTACAGCCATGCCATTCTATAGTAACTCTTTGCTATTACTTCCTCCCACTGTGGCTCCCTTTCACAACACTGAAAACCAGGAATGCATGAGAATATTAGATAATGTTTTCTTATTTATTTCATCATTTTCTGAATCAGCTCATGATTCCTTTTTAAAACAAAAATGCAGCAAAAAGGGGAATGTTGGACCAAGAGAACCAATGTGAAGACACTAAATAAAATGAAAGTACCCTTATCCAAACTTCTCCAAACTCTGCTGCAGTGTATAACGCCCTGGCCTGAACAGGTTTCATACCAAACAACAGCAAACATTATTCGTAAACAACTTCAGGGATAGTGAACTATTGCTCGCAGTGCACAACTGAGAATATGGATTCTACTAATTAACTATTCTACGAGGCTTTTTGGTAATTTCTCAACACTGAAGCCTGAAATTTTGCTTATTTTAAAACTACTATGTTTGCACCTACGATACATTTCATAGGCCAGGAAAGATCTCTGTTTAAAAATAAGCTTATCGTTTCAGTAGAAAGGTGAAAGAAAATATCCTAATAAGCAGCCAAGGATTGGCAGACAGGAAACATGAAATTTAAGCCTGGTTCTGGAAAACCTTTTTATTGAATTGGTCCAAACATCTGACAAAAGACGAAGCTTTACACTCCTGAGAGTTCTCAGTGTGGGGACCTCGTAACAGGATTTCAATCCTTTCAAACAGAAGTGACTTATTTTCCAGCATACCTTTTCACACCCATGTAAAATGTGTCAAATTCAAAGTAGTTCTGTAACACTGAAAACCGGAGTACAATTAATATAATTAAAATATTTGAGCTTAAGCTTTTTTTTTTTTTGGTGTGTGTACTTGCTTGTTTTTTTTTTTTTTTATTAAAAAGAAACCTGGAAATAACAAGAATATATTTTGCTAATTTCTGCAGCCATCTTCTCAATGGGAAAAGAATAAGTGTGCATCTTCTATTCTTCAGGTCAAGTCAGATTAACCAGGGTGATGGAGACTGAATTTTTGCAGGCATTTTCAAACAGCTGTATACACATAAGCAAACTGCTGTATTTCAAGTATACTTTCACTTTTTTGTTGTTGTGGAAAACATTTGGGATAGGGTTTTTTTGTTTTTGCTTTCTGCCAAGTCTTTTGACCTTGCTTTCTTTCTTTTTCTTTTCTTTTTTTTTCAATGAGCCATTATACTCCCCCATATGCACCTCGCAAATTCCTTATCAAGTGATGTTGCATTTTTCTCTTTCCACTGCGGCTCCCTTATTGTACTTAAAAGTACAATGATACCAGACATACAAGGTAAAAACTGAGTTGGTGACAGAGCTCAAGGGGAGATGTAGGACTTGACTGGAGGTGGAATTCTGGGGAATGCATTTCATTTTAAGAAGGCTGTCCTGCCTAATCTAGATAGGAAAAGCATCCTCTTTCTAAGTAGTACTCTCCTGGGCTATTCCAAAGTAAGCTTTCGTTGACTACTAGTTTGGAGGAAGTGTTCTTTAGCCTCTGTTCTTGCATGTGAGCCTCCAAAAAGACCACCTTGAAAGTACAGAAGTACATCTGTGGGGATGTTCAAAAGAATACACAGTCCCCTTGTTAGCTTTTTCTTTCAAAAACATTAAGATAAACATATGTGTTTATAAATATAAATATTTATATGTGCAATAAACATAGCCATATATTAAACTTTGCATTCCATTCTCAAACATATGCACTACATAAAACTTCAAAACAATTGGCACAAATTTGAGAGTTTTGAATTATAACCACAAAAAATATAACCACTGAACACACCGAAACTAAGGAAACACTCAAGCAAAAAAAGCATCTTTTTTTACCAGTCTCTGTTTTTGAGCTTGAGTAAATAGTTTTTCATAATTTGCAGTCTAAACTCAATCAGATTTGGTACTGAAAATGGAACACCAAAATATAAGAAGGCTGAAGGAAACATTATTATTGAATTAATTTTGCATTTACCCATGCAATCAGTTTTGTTTTATGATCGATCAAGGAAGCGTACCACACTATTTCTTATATTGTAGTCTATTTGATTCCCACTACTTATGCTCTTATAGTAAAAAGTTATCCTTTGTTGAAGAATATAAATTGAACAAATACTTTCTAAAAACAGCATGTATATAGTTCTGTAGGCTTTACCAGAGGTGTATAATTTTTCAGCATTACGTCTTAATGCCAATTTCCTGAAGGAGCTTTGACTACAAAAGGCATGAATATGTTTTCAAAGGATGATGGATAAATTGGTGGGTGGTAATATAATATATCTTAGGCAGCTGATCAGGGCTTTTTATCCACTGCTTGTCTTTTAGTTACACACAATTTCAAGATAATTATGGTCTATGAGAATGTCTTTTCCCCTTCCTACTACCAGCAATATTTGTCTTGGTTATAGGTTCAAGAAACTTCCAATCACATCATAAAATTAGAATAGGGCAATTATGGCATCTCAGCAGAGATCTATAGATAGGGTGACCACACAATAAAGACATAAGGCACATAAAGAATTGTCTTCATGTACAATGGCTGGAATACTGTAGAATACACTGAATCCATACTTCAGTTTTATAAAATAAAAAACAAGCACAAATAGGTTGACACATACCAGAGTCAGTGTTGCCTTTCCAGCATACAGTCCATTCAGACGTTGAAAATGAATTAATTGCTAACCTCATTAAATAAAACGCAATCTTATTCTCAGCGGTCAGATAAGTTGTCTCAAAAGTCTGACTTCATTTTTCTGCCAGGAGAGGACTTGAAGCACCTGAAGGTCCTCACTTTTAAAGGTCGAGTAAAGCAGTTTGCTTGTATGATTTGGACACCTAACTGTGGCCAATGCCAGTCTCAGACCAACTCTGCCAGGTGATGTCTTTTAAGATAATACATCCTTGCTTTTCAAGAAGTACCTCAGCCTGCCAACTGTGAAAGCACATAATTTTCTAGTTTGATGCCTAGCGTATTACAGGGTTACTTCACTGAAACAATTTCAAGACAGCAACACAAATCAGAGAAATCAACTCTATTGCACATTGTCTATTAAGTAAATGAAGTATTGAACAGTTGAGGTAAAAGTAGAAAAGCATAGGCAAGAAAACAGCCGGATATGTAAAAACACAAATGGAGGAAGAAGACAAGACAAAATTGTTTTCTTCAACTTTCCTGCAGTAACATTGTCCACCTTTTCAGAATTAGTAACACCACCACAGAGGAAGGTAGTTGCCATTACCTAGTGGCTATCCCTAAAAGTAAGAAGGAAAGCATTCCAAAATCAGACAGCAGAGCTCAGTGAACAACATCAGACTGACTGACCAGAACTTCAAGCTGGTACAAAGACGGAAGTACTAACAGTGCCTGTTAGCAAGCAACAGCTGAACGAACAGGAATCATGAAAATTATGACAAGCTATAAACAATTTATTTGAAGGTGAATAAAGAATGATGAAATCCACATTAGGTGGTTAATGTTAAGACATTTGAATGCAATGCACTAAATTTATTACATTTGATAATTTGATTTTAATGGGAAAAAAACCAAATGCAATGAGGTCCATCAGTCAGTGATTTTATTAACACTTATTTAAGCACAGACATTAGTAAAAATATATTTATTATGTAACTCATAATTCACAATAAAATTCTAATGTATTTGTTTAGATTATACTATAAAATAAAAGAATACATGAGAAAAATTTAATTTCTAAATCAAACTTTTTTTAGGATGAAGATGGTTGAAAAAAAAGAGTTAAGATTTTTCTAACTACAAGCATATCGTTTCACTAGGAATACACATTTTCATGAATACTGGAGATAATACTGAGCAGATGAGGCACAATCTACGATCACCAGGTAGTGAAAATGAAAAGCAATCATCTTGACCAGAAATAGTCTCTGAATACTCTTAAAGAAAATGCCAGGCTACACTTGATGCAGAAGTAATCAGCAAATTATACATTACTTGTGTTATCAGAAAAAAAGAAGCATTAGAAAGATATAAAATATTTAATGAAATGTTCTAAGAGTACCCCCATACTTCTGTATGTTTTATAGTGTCGATGAAGACTGTTTCCCTATAGTGGAAAGTATCAGTGTGTGATTAGAAGCTCATTGAATTCTGAAAGGAACCTTTCTATATAACCTGATTAAAGATGACCATATTTCCTGGTATAAAAAAGCCAGTCAGAACGAAAAGTCTGAATAAAGGAGGTTTTACTTTAAGATGTTAAATGCTATTCTTCTTTTTTATAGGAAACTGCAAAACATATCTGTGCAAATTGTATGCTGCTTCTCTCCCTCCCCAGTATATTAGAAGTTGCTCCACTACTCTGTGTTCTTAGATTGTGGACAGCAGTTGGGTTTATTCAAGCTATTCAATTTAGCCAGCTCGTCGGTCTGGGTTTTCTCCAAAATCAAAATGAAGGATAAGTAGCTTCTAGACTGATCCTCAGGAAGATCTCATTCCATTTTTTTTTTTTTGCAGAAGCAGGCTAGCAAGTTAAATTTAATTCCCAAATCTGGCTAGTGTAAATACTTCCGTACTTCCCAACATATTCTTGAGGATCACCAACATGAATTCACTTGTTACTATATAAATTTTACTTAAATTCATCAAGAAATTAGAACTTCACTAGCTAAAAGCTACGAGTCTTTACCTTTAAGATGTTGGCTGGAGGGTCCTGAGCAGAAGCAACAAACAAGTCATGTCCACAGACAACTCCCTCTGCGAGAAAATATTTCAGCAGCAGACTGGAGTAAACCCCATATTTATCTTCCTCTGTGGAAACAAGAATGTTTGTAAATAAAAAATTCCAACCAAACAACCAAAACAAACAAACAGCAAAATAAAAACACCCGCCTGTATTTTCATGACATTATAAAAAGCCCATGTAATGTAGATGTGACATAATAAGTACAGTATGAATAGAAAATTTTAAAAGTAACATTTGATAATGGTGTATTCCTAATCTTCCAGGAGAAATAGTTCTTGCTCACATGGCTGATTCTAGAAATGGATGACAAGGAACAAGGCTGGAGTAGTTAAGGATAATTTTTTCTTCAAATTTTATTTGAAATGCTGAAAAGTTGAACTGCAAGAATGATGTGACAGGGAACAGGATATAAACCTTTTCACTGACTTACCCTTAATTTATTCTGTTGACTGATAGATTTATTTGTAGTGTAATAGGACTAAATAAGGTTTTACACTGACACACCCTTCTAAACCATGCTTTGCAAATCAATGAGGAATTTTCAATTTATCAAAAGAAAAACATTTCCATTTGGTGTGACAGAACATCACTTCAGCATTAGCTTTTCCTTTTGTCTTCTTACTGTGATTTTCATAACAGTAAACTTAAGAGGAAAAGCAGGAAAATAAATACTGGGGAGTGATCTAAATATAAAACACCTTATGGTCTGCTACAGTACTCAAAGGATTAAATGTGTCTCAGAGAGCCTTTACAAACAGTGTATCTTGAATTGTTAAAGTCAATGCATCTGTAAGAATCCCTCAGTTCTTCAATTTGTCACATAGAGGATGGCTTTTTATTGATTCATTTCTAGGTCACTAAACTTTTGTGGTATTCAAAAGATCTAAAGTGCACCCATATGGGGCTTTTCTGATAGCATCCATTGTGCCCTGGCTTCAATAGTTATGTTACTATTCAAAACCATAGGGGTACAGCTTTCTTTTTCTAAATAAACAAACAAACCAGTTAGCACAGGTATTTCAGATGCTCGCTGATTATTTTGCTGATAATTTTGGTGAAATATTTACAAGTGTTTTTCTTTGCTGATAACTTTTGGACTTACTATTTGATGGCTAGGATACATTCTCAACAGTTACATTTATTCTTCCAAAGCTACACTAAAAGGACCATCTCCATTCTGTACATTAGGAACCAACACTTAAGTGTGTTTCAGTCAGCCAAGAAAACTTAAGAAAAGCCCAAATCTTTATTCTTAGCCTCCCTACTAAAGAGCTGTCCCACCAGCAGCCTTCATTGTGAAGTTCACTCTCTAGCTAATAAGGCACATAGACAAATGAGACTCGTGCAGCTGCAGTCTCTTTTCTGGGCCCAGTCACCACAAGTCACACAACAGTCCATAGCCTTCTCTGATTCTTTTTGAACAAAGAGTATTCTGCAGCTAAGTAGCAGGTGAGTAACTAGTGAAGCGTGAAACTATACAAGGGAAAGAGATTATTTACCTACAAGTTATGCATATTGTCTACAGGACAAAACCTCTTCTGATCTCACAGATAAGAACACAAAATAGTTTATTGTGACCATTATGCAGTGGCCTTTTACCACAACAACTTGCTTTCATGGCCAAAACAGACGTCAAGAAAAAGCTGTACTGTCAGTACCAGCACTGTGAATTCCAGCATATAACCATGTTGAAAATAAAGGAGAAAAAACAATTCCTATTTATGGATCTTCTCACCCCTATGCTGTACAGGTTACTGAACACTTTAGAGACATTCTGAACATCTTTGTGCACGGAGTGCCTTGTACTACTCAGAGGGATCAGCAGTGGAATTAGATACAAAATTTTAAGGCATGGAGCTTAGCGAGAGCACAGAAAACAAAGAGAGAAGGTATGAGAGAGGAAATGCAACTAAAATCTCATGTAACGATGGAAATTTTATGTCTATATATGAGGCATTACTAACAAAAAAGTCTCCAGCCCCCTGCATCAGAAGTATTCCTGTTCCAAGATGGGATTGAGGAGAAGCACCAACACTCGGAAAGCAACAAAGAGCCAGGAACAAAATTGACCGTAAGACAACACAGTATAAATTCCATTTATAACGACTAAATGTCTGCATACTGAATGGCATGAAGGTCTTTGAAAAACTCCAGAGATCATTTGTACCTTAATTACTTAAGATGATGAGAGCTATAAGAGGAAAAAAATAAGACTGCAGCACCGTAACGTACAGATAGCTTTTTTTTAATCTGCTGCACAAAGGCAGACAGGTTGCCCTGGAGCTGCCAGAAGCCTGTCATAGCCTATCAGTATTGATCATTTTTTCCCCAGATAGCTGTACGGCACGGTGCTGTGACCTAAGGTGAGTCTTTGTGAAGCGATGAAACATTTCTGCAAATTGCTGCAGGTTATAAGATGCGATTATTTTAATCACCCGAAATTCCATTTAAAAGATACTTTACTAATGTCCACATTTACGAAGCTTGAGGGGATATGCTCTGTGTCACTTGCATTTAATTAGCACATGCCAAAAGTGAGTTGTCAAACATCCAAGTCATGATATTTGGCATACTTCAGAAAGGTAAATTCTGATAACTTGTATTTTGTATAATTATATTTAGCAAATCACTGTTTTGTACCTCTCTGGAGATTACCTTTTTCAATTTTAAAAAGATGATAAGTTCAGTTCCACTGACAAGTGAGGAGGGCTCTTACCAGCGAGGCTGAATAGCACGTCTAACAAAAATAAGAGTAGCTAATTAAAGTAGCTGAAACTGCTTCGAGGCCTAGACTGAACAGGTACAGACCTGCTTTTAACTAAACAACGTTAACTTTTTATAATTGACCTCAGCTACCAACAAAAACCCTCCCACTGATAATCTTTAAAACATTTAACCATCAATGGTCAAAATGTCAAGGCTACAGCATCTTAAAGGTATGTAGGAAGGGGGTCTTACAGAGTACCCAGGGCAGACCCGCACTCCTTCACTATACAGTTTGTTTGTTATACCAACAAGGCTTATGCTTATAAAAAGAAAACAACTTTGTTCAGAAAAGTCCTCCTAAGGGTAACATACAACAGGTCTGAGTTGCTCAGGCAGTGGGAGGAAAGCAGTGTGCTTCATGAGCAGCGGTACTATTTGTTTTGGTATGAAAGGGGACACTTCTGGAAAGCAAATCCAGAGCACTTAAAGGCAAGACAGCAAACAAGTGGTTGCACAATCATATGAAACAACCTGATAGTGTTCAAATTTCATTTCACCCAGGAGTTGGGATGGCTGTTTTACCACTTTTTATAAACCCGTGTACAGTAACACCTCTGGAAATTAAAGCATCAGTTAAAAACAACAACAGCTTGCTACATCACTGTATAAAACAAATAAACAGGAAGTTTCTGGCTCCTCCACAATCTTGAGTAAGACAACCATGTACTCTCTAATTTTCTTATAAATAAAAGACTGTCAAAAGAACATACTGTAGAATTAAGTCCAACTGGAAATCATGATGCTCGCTATTATGATTTAAATTTAAGAAAATTGAGCACTTAATTCAAACAATATTTTAGTCTTATCAAGTAACCTGTGCCATTACTACGTCTCCAGAATACAACAGATAAAATAAATATTTTAATATCCTGAATCTACTATTATTTGGTTAAATTAACCAAGATAATGTGTCAAATAATGAAGATGAGCATTTAATTTGCAAGGAAAGCTAAACTAAAAGTAATGCAATTTTTTCTCGCCTTAAAGAATGTTGAAGGGAAGGAGAAGAATTTAACCTTTTAATAACACTCGGAGTACAACACATAAGGATCTTCTTAGGAGGTTTATCACTGACAGCTTCAATCCTGTATAATATTAAGCTTGCCTAGACTAATCTCATGACAGATTTTTTTTTGTATATTGACAGGATATTCTAACAATGCAGTTACAATTCTACCTGCACCATCTTTAAAAATTAGTCTAAAAGTTTTTAGACTAATGAGTCATGAATAAATATAGTTCTCCCTTCAAGGCTTTTGGTATATAATTACATGTTTCAAAATAATATATGGAAAGTTTTATTTGGGAAAAAAAAATAGTTTTCAAAGCTTAAAGAGAAACTCTCCTTCGTGTTTCTTTAAGTTTGCTAACATCACAAATACACAGCAATGCACTCAGAGGGAAAAAAATCCAGGTAAGAATCCTGTCATTTTCAAATCACCGTGTCTCATCATCTTTTTCATTAGAACAAAAAACCTCATTCTCTTTTGCATTCGTTTCATTTGGAGACATTTAGATGAGATCAAATGGATACCTAACCCCACGCTCAAGAGTAGCCAAAGGCAGATATAGAAGAGGTAGTAACTGAACAAGCAAATGTGATGCTTCAACCAGGCACGTACTCAGCCTCCCACTGCGGTTCAAGGACTTCCTAAGCTGAACTTGGTATCCGTGCACTTAGTAAGCTTTCTCCTCTACACAGTTGCTTAACTTCTCACTGAGACCATGATTTTTTTAATGTTCACAACACACAATGGTGAGGTATTTCACCTTTTAATTGCATACTGTGTGAAGAACCATCACCTTATTTTGTTTGATGTTATGGCCAATAGGTCCATTTGAGACCACCCAGTTCTTCTAGCGGCAGGGACAGTAAATATTATAATGGGAAAACAAAACAAAATGTTCCATAATCTGTGATTTCAGAAAAATACGACAGGTTCTAACTTCTTCTTCTCTTTTATTGATAGCAAGACTGCAGCTCTTCTCAAACTATGTAAGAAAAGTAAGATCTACACTGACAGCAGTAAGACATAACACTTCGATCACTGCTTCTGGGTTCAGAGAAACGTGGATAACATTTCATGAGAAAAATAAACTCAACTGGTATTCTCTGTTCCAAGAAAGGCCAAACACTCTGGCTCTCTCTTCTGCCAGGCTGGATGGGGCTGTGTGCAACCTGCTCTAGTGGGTGGTGTCCTCCCTATAGCAGGGGGGTTGGAACTAGATGATCTTAAAGGCCCCTTCCAACCCAAACAATCCTATGATTCTAGTCCTGACTTTGCAACCCTTCTCTCCCCCCTCGTGCTGGCTCAGGTACACATCTCATACATTAGTTAGCCAACTCAAGTCACTAAGCCAAGAGAAAAGTCTCTGCTTTTCTGCAGCTGTGTTGGTTTTCTTCCACCTTAGAGAGCTGAATCAGCTCAGCAAGAACTGAAAAGCACTAGTTGTAGCCCAGGGAACAACAAGATGGCATGGCCAAGAATAGGGAGAGGAATTTGGACAACTTCTTTTGGCAACAGTGAACTGCTGTACCAATTCAGCATTCTCAAAAAATTTAAATGGCTGCCACTAAACAGATGATGCCCTACAAGAAATTAGGTAATGTCAGTGATTTTTTCTGGCAGGCAACTGTTCAAATTACTTAGATCTCTACCACAATATACAGAAGTTTATAGGGTTTTATTTAAAGATTGAGATTTTCTAAGATACACTACAATAGCAACCTGTCTTTAAACAGCTACCAATGATACATAAAATGTGGAACTAGGAATTAGAATTAATGTAACAAGCCATAATTAGAGAAATGACCTTGCTTGCTGGGAAACTGAAAATGCTGTTCAGCTTCTAGTGGAGGGTCACATAAGCCTTACACAGTTAACTTCTCACAGAAAGCAAATTGAATATAAAGCTCCACATATGATGAAGAGCATAATTTCTATGTAGGTTATGTGCTTCTAGAAGCACGACCCAGTCAACCATTATTTTTCCGCCTCGACCTTTAACCAAATCTTCTATGTTTGCTGTCAAGTTGTAGAGCACAAGTCCAATGTTGCAAAAAAATGATGTTTCAGAATAAATGGCAGCAGGTCACTAACTTTACATAGTTCTGACTGTTACACTTTAGTTGAGGAACCTGGGAAGTGTTTCTTGGCTCTACATTCCCATACGTACCCTGAGGGTATGAAGACAGGATATATGCATACAACTGTCCTTTTATCCTTTGATACACCTTGACCTAAGCGGAAAGGAAATCTGGGCATCACAGCTACAATGGAGACATGCAACAGTTTTGACGTAGTCTGCAAAGGGAAATTCCTTGAAACCTATTTAATCATCTCAGTTTGTCTTATTCCCTTTCTGACAGAAAGCAGGCTCCCACCAGCTTTCTCTTAGCCAATTCTGGCAACCAAATGATTAAAAGATTCTGTATTTCCCATCTTCCTTAACAAGCCAATTTAAAAAGAAAATCCATTTGCTATGATAAGAAGTCTGAATCATTTAGAAAACCTTGGATCTTTTCAAACATGTCCTAGGACGTTTAGAAATTTTCTAACCATGCTGCTTTTGAACAGAATCCCCATGGAAACTCAGACCTGTCTGAAAGCAGGGTTTGGATCCATATCCAGTCATTCTCGAAACAGAGAAAAGTCCACTCTGAAAGCTACCCAAGACAAAACACCTATTCTTAAATTCTCAGCTTAATAAACATTGAAAAGACAGGTTATTTAATATATGGAAATGAGCAAAACGGATCGAATATGGCTTTATGTATTCATATATTCTGTACTAACCAATTAGAAGAAGGGTTCCAACAGCTAAGCCTCCACCTGGAAAGAAAACAAAATGAAGAATAAAGTAAGACTACATGTTAATACTATGTTAGAGAACAATTAAGTTTTCTTAGTTTACAAGTCAAAGAAAGGTGATAACGGGGAATTTAAAAATATAAAAGTGAACAACATTTTAATTACCTTTGCAATACTTCCTACAATTCTCTATTATGAAATAATTACACATTACATGTAATTATACATTACACATTACAATTACTTTCACAAGATACTGTATTATCATCATTGTCGTAAAAAGATCCTGCAGAGCTCTGCACAACCGTACTCAAGTACCACAATAATGATTTATGCTCTCAGCCCGTGGATTTCCCCTTGGATGACTCAAGTAACAAAATACTTTCCAAGTGACACCCGTGCTAATCACCAGTCTCACAACTTCCCACTGAAGTCGCCAGGCAAAATCCTGGCTCCAGTAGTTTTTATCATGCTACCGCCAACAGACAGAGCAGTAAGGCAGGGAGGGTTCCATCCAGTTAAGCTTCATTAACATTGTAACATAAACCTCAGAAGAACACGATTAACGTCTCTTTTAGAATGCCTGGGACACAGCAACCACTCCGTGAATGCAGATGATTGAAATGTTTGTTTCAAAATAAATTTTGACCAATTTATGATGGAAACTACTACTTTTTTTTTCCCCATTGCTTAGATAGTTGCAATCGATGCTCTCGTTCCAATCACAGATGACGGAGTGAATAGTAAAGAGAAATGAATACATCCAACATGTTTTGATACAAGGTTTCTTATCCCATCCATCTCAACATAAAAAGAAGATAATCTATGAGCTCTTGCTCTGATTTATCTGCTCCTCAAAGAAAACACAGGTACAGTTAAGTAACAGTGGTTTAAATGGTTGTTGCAAGAGGGAATTTTAACAGAGAAGGGGAAAGATGAACTCATATTTTGCTTTATCTGACAAGTAAACAATTTTACATTCTGTATTCCAAGAGAGAATATATTGAAATAACTGGAAGGCAGATTACAAATATTTTACCAAAGAAGCACTGGGATGGTCATACATAACCAGTCAACCACAGTGCTTTGTTTGAAGGAAACTGCAGTATGTCTTCTTAATTGCTTCCTGCTCTGAAAGCAAGCTGGGAGCAAACTGAATCGCATCAGCACAACACCCAACTCTTGTGATGCAAGAAGTCAATTCTGGACTCTGAAGATGGACTCTGGTGAACAAAGCAATTCAGTCTATCAATTCAAGCACTCGTTAAACTTCACTTGAAAGTGATTCCAGTAGGGATTGGATGAATTTCTTCACCTTCAGCTCTGCTGGCAGCACCCCTGAAGTTGATCTACAGCCAGGAGAAAGAGTAAAGCAAATTTCTCTCCCATAGGCCAAACAGTTGCCAAAGAACTAACTACTGCAGCCTTTGTTTTGATTGAGAGACAATGGATTCTGCATTCATCACTGATTTACGGGAACTAATTTCTCACTCCTTGATGCCACTAAGTGACTACACTTCTATGGATTCTCTAGTAAGAGCCATCTGATGGCTTAGAATGCAGTACAATTATACAGAATATCATCAGAAGGATTTCCAAACGATATACATCCTTTCCCATTTTCACTCTGTACCTACTAAGTCCAAAATTAAGTTACACAAGAATGTCGGCAGGTTGGATGAAAGAATATTTGAACGATTCTAAAGGACTCTTACTTGACAAATACCTGACAAGAAGCAGGCTACCATAATCAATAAAGATAAACAAGGAAGAGTTGTACAGCTGCAGAAAGTTAGATGCTGTGTACAGAACTACACAACTAAAAGGAAATCTCCATGATGTTCAAGGCCAGGTTAGACATTAGGTCTTTTCATTGTTCTCTTTGAGTAGTAGTACATTGTATTAGAGCAATCTAGCTATTATGCATCAGTAGCATAACAAAAGCTGCTGCCTACTGTAAAAAGTCAAGATTCCGGGCATGACATGAAGAAACCATACCAAGTAGTCATAAAGTACTCAGCCCCAAGCATTGCTCTGTATAGGTCAAGAAAAAGGATATGGCTTATAAATCATGCTGAGTAAATAGCCAAAACAAAGCGCATTTACAAAGTTACAAAGTAGATCAGCATCTCACATAAAACATTCTGGCTGGTAATCTTGTATTTTCTGTGTAAAAAACAAACAAACAAACAAACAAACCACAAAATAAAACAAAAGAAACTACATCAAATTAACAGGCAAAAGCCAGTGAAAGACCATAAATTGTGAGACACAAGACCATAAAATCAAACAAGTAAAGAGATACTTTTTGCCTGCGTTAGTGGGACAGATATGGTCACAGCATGAGTACCATAACCACAACGCTTGTATAAAAGCCACAAAAAGTGCTAATACTGTTCCACTGTAATGCCTGCACCCAAAGCAACAGAATCACTTTGTCCCCGTGTCATGATGCTAAAACAGTTGTAATGGCACATCACAGAGCAAACATTTAGTGAACCTTTAATTTCATAGTTGGATCTCAGTGTATCAGAAATAATTTAAACCAAGATCACAGAATCATGGCATGGTGTGGGTTGGAAGGAACCTCTAAGCCCATCCGGTTCCAATCCCGTGCTGTGGGCTGGGTGCCCGCCACCAGCTAAGGGCCCACCCAGCCTGCCCTTGAGTGCCTTCAGGGATGGGGCACACACAGCCTCTCTGGACAACAAGTGCCTCATTGCCTTCATCGTGAAGAATTTTTCCTGACACCCATGTACAAATTCCTCAATAGTTCTGATAAACTTATCAAGTAAACAAACATGTCTTAGATACCTAAAACAAACAAACACCTAAGCACTACTTATTTGAAAATCAGAACAAAATTCCCATGATCTAATTCACCAATTTTTACAAACCCAGAAGTTCTACTGCAACAGGAGAGGAAAAAAGTCCCAAATCAGTCATGGTGCAGATGGTTGATACAAAGTATGCTTTACGCACCCTCTGCATTCAGTTCTTCAGGGAGACAGAATGCACGTGGTGCTAACAACAGCTGTTTAAAACTAGCACAGTCTATAAAGCACGTGGAAAGAAACAGCTCAAAATTATGAGATCTTACTAAACCACAGCTTGACATAGAAAAGACCAAAATAGCCATAAGCAAAGTTATTACCTCATGGCAATAACGACTTAAAATCCTGGTTATCTGAAGCTCCCCTGTAGCCATCACAGAAGTAGCGTCCCTGCTGTTTTTAGATAGTTTGTACAAGAGAGAACATTTGTCAGATAACACGCCACCGCAAAGTTCTAGCAAGCTGTCTTTGCAGCTCATCACTTGTGGAATCTCCTACAAGCCAGAGCAATAACACAAGTGCATACATCGTGGATGCAAGGCAAACCCTGGGCAGAAGGCAGGCTGTATGTGGTATGAGACAGCAAAGAGTTTAAAGAAATTTATCTTATCAGACGGAATGTAAAACTATTGCAGCTGCTATGGTTACGCACTTGTATTTTAATGAGTAATAATAGTAAATTAGGCAAAAAGCACCGCAGGAAAAAGTTACAGGAACATTGAAATACTCAGAACAGTTACAATCTTCAAGTCCCCTTGGAAAACTGCTGCGAACTTGCAATTCTTTCCATCGGTTATTTTAACTTTTCTTTGCCAGTTCCTCAGTCCGTACTGCATGCAGACAGGGAAGCAATTGCAATAACTGCCGCACTGCTACTTACAGCAAAGGGATTTAAGGCCTCAAGGACAGAAACACAACAGATGTTGCAACTTGAGAAGTGCCGCCATTGTTTTCAGAAAGTATCTGTGACCTTTCTTAAAGCACCTTGAAACAGAGCATTTAATACCAGACAGGTGATGTTTAAGTCTCACAGTGCTAACAGTGCTGCATCTAGCTTGCAGCTTCTGGACATGAAAAGATATGAAAGAAATGCAGAAACTTAAGACAGCCTGGAGAAGGGCCACTGTGATGGGCACACGACCTCAGAGTTTTCATGACCCAGAATTCAATGACTTAAGGGAGAGAAAGTTAGGGAAAACCATGGGGATGCAGAGTCTTTCTGGTCTTCAGAGATGCCACATGCTAAAACCTTTTAAAAAGTATTTTTTTTTTAATTTCCATTCCTAGGATTGAAGAATGTTCTTGGTGTTCAAATTTAAAATCTGTTAGGTTGGGAAATTAGTGAATATTTACAGGACAATGAAGAGGCATTTTAGAAGGGATGCTGGGTTTGCTGGTAAAAGTCTCCCCAGCATCCACAAGAAAGCACTCACTATATTGGAAAACACCGTGAGACTTTGGGGCCTGTTATTGAAGGGAACTGTCCACGCTTCCTACCCATGCTACGCAACAGCTATTTATGACATGAAATAGGAACAACTGAAATACTCAGTGCAAATCTTAGAATCACAGAATGGCTGGGGTTGGAAGACACCTCAAGGATCATTTAGTTCCATTGGCCCTGATGCAGGGAGGGCTGCCAGGCGCTCGCACAGGCTGCCCAAGGGCCCTGAACTCCTTTGGGGATGGGGCTTGCACAGCTTCTCTGGGCAGCCTGTGCCAGCATGGTCATGTGACTGAAGGGTTCCACACACACTGAGTGAAACAGATCTCTCTTAAGGAGGACGAGCTTACTCCACAAGGATACACTGCTTGAGGGAAATGCAGGAGTTCTCTGCAGAGTGCAAACAAATAAACACACAGAAGTAAACACAAGCACGCCTGTCCTTTAGACACCCACTTTTCAGTGTCTTTTTTTACAGAACTGCGATTGTATGCACCGCTACTCGCACAGACGGTCCTCAGGAAGGAAACACACCGCAATTTCCATGCATTCGTCCAGGTATAAATAAGCAAAGGCCTCCTCCCTCAGCCTCAGCCCCATCCCCGCCGTGTCCCCAGGCGCCACACCCGCAGGGACGCCCACCCGCCCCCCATGCAGCCCGTTCCCACGTGTGATCACTCTTTCCGAGTAGTTTTTCCCCGCGCCCAACCTGAAATCAGCTCCCACTTAAACACGGCACAGCGCTCTCGCGGCGGATCGCCACCTCAGATCCGAACCGGAGTTCCCGCCCCGCGTGACGGGACGCGACGGGCCGTTCCCGCGCTCCCCTCGCCCCGCTCCCCTCAGGCACAGCCCTCCCGGCCGGGGGAGCCCACAGGGCCGGCGGCGCTGGGTCCCGCTCCACCAACCTAGCACACAGTCCAGGGAGGGGACCCCGCAGGAGATCAGCAGCCGCCCGTGACGGAGAGCGGGCCGAGTGCCGGGCACGGCGGCCAGGCGGCTGCCGCCCGAGCGCCGGAAGCTGGTGCTGGTGCCGGTGCCGGCGGTGGTGGGGGCAACCCCTTCGCCCCGCGCCGCCCCGCCGCCCGCCGCCATCATCTCGGCTCGCCGGCGCCTGACAGGAGGCGGGAACCGCCGGGAACAGCGCGCTGCCCAATGGGAGCCCGCCTTGTTGGCGCGTGGCGGGCGGCGGTGCCGGGCGGGCCCGGCTGCGGGACGTAGGTGAGTGCGGCGGGCGGGCGGTGCGGGCCGGGCTCCGTGAGCTGGCACTGAGGGACGGAGAGCGGGCGGGAAGGGGGTCCTGGTCGCTCCGCCCGGCCGTGTTCGGTCGCCTCAGGCGTCGGCGGGGCGGCCTGACCTCTGTGTGTGTGTGAGAACGGGTGGAAGCCCGCCGGGCTGCAATGTTTCCTCCCTTGCTTTGTGCGAAGAAATTAAAGTGTTTGCTGCCTTGTGGAAAGCTGCCCGTATGGTTATTCTGTCAGTCTGCAGGCCCTGTTGTGGCCGTGTGACAGCAGTGGGTCTTGCAAATGTTTGTATCTGCTGCCAAGTGGAATTGTACACACTTAATGTCCAGCTTAGTTTGTTACCAGTGGCAAGAAGCAAACGTAGCTGTGAAACGTTGTTCTGTGCGAACCTGCAGCAGTGCTCACAACCCTTCACCCCGTTCATAGCAATACATTTCCTCTTGCTGCTGCAGTGAAACACGTTTCTTGTTTTTAAACAAAGTGCACTAATGCAGCTCAAATTAAGTTTCAGAGTATGTATGAATGTTCCCGTAGTGCAAAACCCTCTCTTCTTCCATCTCTTTCTGTGACTGGTAGTAGTTCTGTTGCTTTTTCTCATCTCATTTCCCCACAGGGCAATTAAAAGTAGAGGCTAAATAATTGTCAGGCTGAGAACCTGAGTTCTGCAAGCACTTTATGACTTACCTGTGCTATGCTCATACCATGTGTGGAATTTCTTGCATTAACTTTAGCCAACGATACTGGAAATCTCACTATTTCCTGAGCCATCATAGGCCGGAGTTGCTAAAAGAGAAAGTCTTGTTTCTTTCTTTTCCTCTGCTTCCACTGATTGAGTCCAGCACACTTTGGTGCTTGTCAGATCCTTTCCAGAGCTGACTGATCTCATTCGTCTGCCTTGGAGCTACCTATCAGCCTTCAAAAGTCAACTCTGTGCTATGCTGCTGAGTATATGCAATAGGAAAAAGGTATTGACACAGCAGGGAGAGGGGCATCGAACCTTCTTTCCTACCTATGAAACGTTGATTCAGCTCACGCTTATGAACCTCCGTTATTTCAAGATTTTCTGTATTTTAGCATGAAGGGATACATTTTGTGAGCTAATATCCTCTCAAATGCAGAGAAAAAGTCTTAATGTTGTACCTTGCACTGAGAGACTGTTTCGGATTTTACTACAAAATTGTGGAGAAGTACGAATAATTCTTTGATATAAGAACTGAGTTTCAGAAATTATTGCAGTAGTTCCGTTTGTGCTGTTGGCTTCTCCTCTGTCAAGGTATGTTTGCAATTGATCTGCAAGCATGTTTGCAGTTCTTCTCTAAAGTTGTAATTTGCAGATCTGGGGAAAGTGCCAGTGTGCTCAGAACAGCAGCACTTGTTCAAGTAAGTTTTAGAAGTGCTTGGTGGGAGGAAAGCACCTGCTGCTGTATGGCAAAGCGGCTTCCCTCCCAGCTCAGGAATGTGTCACGTTAGGCCTGGTTCCAGCAGTATCGCACCAAACCAGATTAGTGCTGAGTCAGCTGACCAGGCAGGGCTGCAGTCACGTGACCCCATGCCCCACAGGGTCCTGCTGGGGCCTGAAACAAGGTAGTTTGCTTCTGGGATGTTCTTAAGTACCTAACAGCATGGGTCGTGGATTACGGCTGCAAAGAAGATGCCTTCATTTTCCCTGATCTTTGAACTGGTTAGAATGGGAAAAGTTTGAAAGTGCGGGCTCTTCAGGCCCTGAGCCAACAACTGGAAAGAATGTTTAATCCTGGAAGTTCCGACACTGAAAGGCTGGGCTTTTCTGAAGAGTGAAAAAAGCTTAAAAACGACTTATCCAATCGTTCCGTGGAAAGCGTGAGGATTAGTGTGAGAGTTTGAGACATACCAACTGTGTGATATTACATACGATGCGATGTGGTTTTCTTCAGAAAGCCTTTGGATGTTACCTAAACGTTGCTGCGTGTTTTTAATACTGAACAATCGTGATAAGAATCTGAACCTGTGTCGAAAGGGGATGTCTTTTAAACTGGAAGTGCATACATTAGGGCACGTGAGTTGATGTGGTGCGTTTGATGCTATGCCTCGGTGCTGAGAACAACGGCTGAGTAAATCTAGGTCGTAAAAACGCTGTTACTGAGATGACCACTGTAATGTCAACTCACGTCTTACCTGAAAGTAGTGTAGAGAGTTGCTATAGCATGTTTTCCTAATGCTGGTATTGTATTTAAGGTTTAAGGACTGGCATATTTTGGATTTCAGAAGGGCGTTGTTTTCCTCTTCAAGGGGCATTATTCCAAATAATCCTGCTAGTTCTATGAATACTCTGCAGTACCAGCAGATATTGGAATATGGGCAAAGTTTAGTCCACACCTATATGGAGGGATTCCATAGAAGATGCACTTTTCTGGTTTAGCTTTTTTTTCCCCCATTGTCCTTGCAATACTGCAAAACCCAAATCCTGCAGAGTGCTTTAGCAAAGCTTGAGATCCGCCCCAATTCCATTCAGAATTCCATTCAGAACCAGTCTCATTCAGAATTCCTTACAGAATTCCTCTGAAATTGTGCTTCTCTCCATTTGCTGAAATATTTTTAAAGGTGTTTTTGCAGTGGAGAATTTTCCCTCCCTTCTGCTGTTACCCCAAACCTAACAGCGCTCTTTCAAAGCTTTCGAGCTACTTCTGCAGTAGTTTCTGGGTTTAAAAGTTACAAAATCTGGATCGTAAGTCTTAGTTGTTGTGTGAGGAAAAAAGGAATGTGGCCTGATTTTGCTGAGAGTGATATGAGTCAGAATTTGGTGGACTTCCATTTAGATTCACATCATTGTGACTATCCTTGTTGTGTGGTGAACCAACACGTTGCTGTGAAATAGAATTCTCTCAAATTGTGTAACTGCTGTGAGCAGAGATAGAAGCCTTGCTTGGTTTTCAAAAGACTGGTGCCTGCCTGTTACAGTTCAGCCTAGTTCTGTGACGAAGGGGCAAAGGTTCTGTGACAAAGGGACCCTTTAGGTTGTTTAGGCTAGTAAATAATTATGCCATTGGGAACTAGATGAAGAAAATAGGTGTTTTTGACTTTAGTAGACAAAAATGAAAACTGAGATTATCCAAAGTGAGTTACAAAGTTACATAAAGCATAAGCTCGCAGTCCAGCAAAGCTAGCTTCAAGTACCAACAGCCAGACCCTCTACCGAGTGCTGAAGTTACATTGTTCCAAATCTGGAATAATGTGATGAAGAAAGTGGAAAACATTGGACATCTGGCTTCTTTGTAGCCAAGCCTTTCTTCAGCGAGCTTCCATTATTCTTTATCTCAATAGATTCTACTGCATCTACCTCGCGTTAGGAGGCTGCCAGTTCCATGCCAAAGCTGCAGCTTTTGCCAGAATCCCATCTCAGGAGCAGAGACAGCTACACAAGATACTTCTGTTCAGCATTTGCAAATCACAAAGGTCATCTGCTCATGTCTAACTCAGCAATGCGCTGCCTTGGGTCAGATATGGCTGGACAGCTAACAGTACTGTAACTGCTGCAGCATTTCTGCAACCATGGAATAACTGTTGGAATGAAGATATGAAATAATACATAGTGCTGTGTTGTAAATGGGAAGGATTAAAGACTGTGGTTGCTAGTGTAGAAGTATGCTTCTCTAATCATTTCAAAGATCTTCTGTGTTTTTGTGTTAAAAATGTGTTTCTGTTGTTTCATTGCAACGGGCTCTCTGTTTGGGAGGAAACAACACCTGAGCTTTTAGTGTTAAACCTTACAGCACTTGTCTATAGGATCTCTCAGTTCCCATCTTTTCATTCTCCCTGAGAATTAGAGCTGTCTCTGTGTCCCATGTCAAAGGAAGGACTGTAACCGAGCATCCTTTAAATTTTTATCCTTTACATTTTTATGTTTCTGCCAGAGCCGTCGCACACTTCTTGAGCTGCATGTTTCCACCATCTCTCTTCATCAGCTGTGCTTGCTTTCATCCAAGAAATGTGAAGCAGCTTTTGGCCTTGATATATTTATGCTCTTGCTTTTTTTTTTCCTACTGAATTTTTAGCATTTCTGGTATAAAAGATCTAAAATGCACAACTGCTGGAAGATTTGCAGTCATCTTAGCATACATGCAGCACTGTGAAAGGAGCTGTGGGAGCAGACACTGGCTTTCCTTTTGGAAGCTCAGTGTTATGAAGGGTAAGCCAAACTGTGTGCTTTTGGAACAACCCTCATGAGTAAGCTTAGATGGAATAAAATCTGTTTGCTTCATAGAAACTTAGAAATGGTTTTTAAGAAGACTTCAGGCGAGGAGATGCTTGACCATCTCTGTGCTGCTTCCCATTTCGCAAATATTCGCGTCCCCATTTGAAATGCGGATTTCTCCTAGGTACCTGTGGCAAAATGAGCCATATGGGCCTTTTTTGGTAATCTCTCTGCTGCCTGTGGCAGTGCAGTTGGTGGGCCTGGAGCACGCTCAGCGTCGTGCGGGCGCTCGGTACCTTGGCTTAGAACCATCCACTGCGTTTGAGGAAGGAGCCTCTGCTCATTTGATTTCCTTATCGTTGTGTCAGCTGTGCCTTTACTTTAAACCTTCAAATTAAATAGTAGTTTATGCTGGCTTTTTATTTTAGTTCATGCATTTTAAACCCAGAACTCAGATAAAAAGATAGTTCCAGAATAAATCCAGTATATTATTTATGAGTGGAGCAACACATTAGCATTGAGTTCACAGTAGATCATATCGCTTTTATTCCGTCTTACAAGCTTAGCAGCACAAACAGAATAATCAACATATTATTTGGCTGTCATCTGCTGAACAGAAACCAGAGATCACAAGGAGGTTTTCCCTAGCTGCAGTGATGGCCTTTTTGTTCCAAGCCCCCATCTGGGAGGGCCATGGTGTGTTATCATATGGAACGCGGGGTTTTCTGTAATCTGCTTAGCTGCACTGCAGTTTGAATCTTCATTCCATGTTTGTGTAATTTATAATTTTAATGAGACCACGGCTC